AAAAAAAAACAAACAAAGAAATGTTCGAGCGCTTGCGAAACACAAGAAAGAGCACATACCAAAGAAAAAACTTGCGAGAAGAATTCATATTTCCAGTCAAAATGGAGCAAAAATCACCCAAGAGACACTTTCTGAACTCATTATATTGAAACGAAACACAAGTCAGGTAGATTGCGATTTCAATTGCTTGGTAAAACGCAAGGATAAATATTCATCAGAACGAAGCACAGTAGAACAGGTGATGAAACTGGATACTTGAAAGGAATTGATCGAGAGAAAGTCTATTGATTCACCACTTGAATTAGCAGCTTATCGCTAGAAAGCAGATAGTAACAAACGATACTGTTTCATGTTCGCGTTGTCTTTTCCATTAAAGATATTTATTAATTTACATGAAGAAATATTACTGAATGCAACAAAAACAAAAGCATTAAATTACGAATCATCCATACGAACTGAATGTGAGTTTCCATCCTGAATATTCAATAACGCTGTCAATCTACAGAATATTTGCAATTCTCACGCTAATGTTGACAGTCGAAACAAAATTTGTCTTGTTTGCTTTTGATGGCGTCCTTGAATCTTTTCGACACAACAACTTTCAGCTAGCTTGGGCAAATAAATTAAGACTGGACACNTGATTCCGACAAAAAAAATAGTAATATGTCGCGAACAGTGAACATCCGCACAAAACTGCAAAAAAAAATAGTCGTCCAAACTCTTCGCTTTGAACGTTCATCTCAGTACTTTCTTTTGGCGTACCGATCTCTCGATCCTGGTTTCTTGTAGCCGTGACCCCTGGCCAGTTGTTCTTCATTCAGTTGATCTTCATCCTCAGAACTCTCTTCCTCGTCTTCGTCTTCGTCAGAGTCATCTTCGGATCCTGCCGATGGCAGATTTTCGTCCCCAGAAGCGTCATTCTCTTCGTCCGACAATGCACCCGTATCCGCTGAAATTTAGATTCATCAGTCAACTCTCAACTCACAAATACTATAGCATGTTTTAACAACGAAAATGACATCCAATTCACAAAAAATTTTTTGCTGAATGATTCTCCCACTTGATCGCACACTGCAACAAGCTGTACCCTATACAACACTATTGATACAACTTTCGAGGAAGGAACGACTGAGTCTCCTTACAATTAGACGGTAAATTGGGAAAGAGAACAACGATCTGGAAATCATACTTCCGAAATATATAATCTAGCAAAATGGACTAAATAGAGGAATCATAATGAGTCGTTGCGAAATGACATCAATAAAGGAGTGATAACAAAAATAACAAGAAACAAAGCACTGACCGAACTCAATGCCACCTTCGTCTTGATCATCAACACCTTCATTCAGTTTCGCGTTCTCAGGCAGCTGCCCGCATGCTTTCAGATTCCTTGCTTCATCCGGATTGTACTTCAATATGACATCTGCCTTGTCATCTTGATAGTCTCTCAACCCAACAAGTATAATATCACCAGTGTTTATCCAAACCTTTTTCCTCAGTTTACCACGAATATGACACAGACGTTGTTTACCATCGAAACAAAACGCTGTCAGTCGGCCATTACCGAGCATTTTCAACACCTGAGCATACTCTGAAAAATATTATTTAGTTTTCTGGCTTCA